CAGCATCACTTCTGAGTTTTTTGTTTTTTTTTTTTTGTTGTTGTTGTTGTTTTGAGTAGCTAATTAGAGATGAGTCTCACAGGGACTTTTCTGCCCCGGCTGGCTTCAAACCCCAATCCTCAGTTCTCAGCCTCCTGAGTAGCTAGGATTACAGGCATGAGCCACCAGTTTATTTCTTCTTCTTTTCTGTTTCTTTTAAGGGCGGGGGGTGGGGGGGCGTAGAGACTGGAACTCAAAGTCACTACCTAATGATTTTACTCACTGGCTTGTACTCTGCCGCATAAGCCAGGTCTCCAATTCCCGAAATGCATTTCTTACAGTGGATTAAAACCAAAAGGATTTGGAAGCTACTGATTAAAAATGACCTTATGGGGGCTGGGAAGGTGGCTCAGTGGTAGAGCACTTGCCTTGCATGCATGAGGCCCTGGGTTCGATTCCTCAGCACCACATATGCAAAAAGAAAAAAGCCGGAAGTGGCGCTGTGGCTCAAGTGGTAGAGCGCTAGCCTTGAGCTGAAGAGCTGAGGGACAGCGCCCAGGCCCAGAGTTCAGGCCCCACGACCGGAACCCTCCCACCCCCAAAAAAAATGACCTTATGATTCTCTGTCACTTGTCCTCCCTGACAGCTGATAGCAAATTCCTCACCCTCTGTCCCTTTGCTCTTGCCTCTGGGTTAGTTCCCTCCTCCAAACTAGAGAACTCCTACTCATCTGTCAAGTGCCTTCTTGGTTAGCCCTTTTCGTAAAACACCTTCTCTGCCCTCAGGCTTCCAGGCTTCTGTTCTCATACCAGTGTCCCTTCAAGCTCCTCCATGACTGACTGTCGACTCTACTTCCTGTTCCTAGGAGAAAACAGCCCATCATAGACATCAGTGGATACCAACTGAACCCACGGCCCTCAGGGTCCTGGGTGGGAAGGTTATAAGTAAACCAGCCTGCTTATTTCCCCAGGCCCCATCCCCACTTGCTTTATGGTCTTGTGTAGCTGACTTTTTGTTTTGTGGGCGGTGTTGGTCCTGGGACTTGAACTCTGGGCCTGGACGCTGTCCCTGAGCTAGTGCTCTACCACTTTGAGCCACAGCACCACTTCCGGTTTTCTGGTGGTTCATTAGAGATAAGAGTCTCATGAACTTTCCTGTCTGGGCTGGCTTTGAACCACAATCTTCAGACCTCAGCCTCCTAAATAACTAGGATGACAGGCGTGAGCCACCAGCACCCAGCAGGTCACCTGTGTTGGACAACCTATGCATTTTACTGAAATAAATGTTGATATAACAGCTCTGTACATGGGCGGGGGGAGCGGAGAACAGAAGGGACAAATATGAGAGCAAGGGAAGGGAAAATGCAGAGGGTTTTGATATGTCGGGGCCCTGCTCTTCATTTGGGCCCTCAGGATTTTCCTTGAGGAAATAAACAAGTGCAGACAAGGTATTGTTTAGAATGAAGAATAATGGGAAAGAACCTCAATGCCAGGAAAAGGGTGTTGAAATGCCTGCTGTGTTAGTCAGCTACTGCAACAGAAATACCAGAGACAGGTAGCTCATAAACAAAGAAGGGCCGGGGGACAGCTCGCTACTCAGGAGGCTGAGATCTGAGGATCGTGGTTCAAAGCCAGCCTGGGCAGGAAGGTCTGTGAGACTCTGATCTCCAATAAACTCCTCAGAAAAAGTAGGAAGTGGCAATGTGGCTCAAGTGGTAGAGCACCAGGCTTGAGCAAAAAACAAAAAAGCTGAAGGACAGCACCCAGGCTATGAGTTCGAGCCCTAGGACCAGCACAAGAAGAAAGAACTTCAATCAACAGGAGCCTAAGTCCTTAGGATGCGGGGTGTACAGTCAGCCACAGCTGAGCATCCTCACCTTGCCATCAGCTGCTCAGAGACAAGTGGGCTTTTGTTTCTAGAAAGTTCTCCCCCTAACACATATTCTAGATTCTTAGTTCCATTTGTCTCACCTTGACAGAGCTGCGTCCCCAGCACTTGGGAACCTCAAATCTTTGGGATGGGGTTACTATGACTGGCTTGAGCGTTGGCAAGGGACACTGGGTGGGGGAATATTATGGGCATGAACATTATGGATATCCCAGTCATTCAACACACGGTGCATGTACACACACACACACACACACACACACACACACACCAAACCATTTCCAAACACACTGATGTTGATGTGGCTGGTGGATGGGGCCGGCTTGTCTCAGTTCGGTCTGCACTCTGGCTGGCGCCAGGCGAGAGCCAACAGCATCATTCATTTTGCTGATTATCTTGCAGTGTGGTCAGAGTTCAATGGGCTCCATCCATTTCCATGTGCTGGGATGTCAGCGGGGGTCACTCGGAACTGGGGGCCCGAGCCACCCAAAAGTACCCCGGTCCTGTGCCTGGGCCTAGGTGTCCGTCCCAACCGCGGGGCCTCAGGCTTCTTCCCCCCCCTCCCCACCAGGTGGAAGCAATCTCCTTTGCAGCTCAGCCTTGGAAGATAAAGCCATGATTTTTCCTGCCATGCGCTGTTGTTTGGAAGACAAGTCCTTGAGGCCAGGCCGTGGTTCAGGGACACATTTCTGGGACCCGTGCCTGCCATGTCTGTAGACAGGGAGGTAAAGCAGAGTGTGGAATGGAGAAAAAATGGCTATGAAGGACCTCTCTCTCTCTCTCTCTGTCTCTGCCTCTTTCTTTGGTTCCTCAAATCTCTGCTCTTCCCCTCCTCTCTCTCTTCTCCCACCAAAAAGCCCGAAGTGGAGCTGTGTCGTAGAGCACCAGCCTTGAGCGAAGAGGCTCAGGGCCAGGGCCTAGGCCCCCGTGGAGCAATGCTGTGCGTTAATATGGGCTGTGCGTCTCGTATACTGATGCATGGGTGGAAGATGGAGACTGTGTTATTTGGAGACCTCTTCCAACAGCTGGCAGAGTGAACCACTGGTGAGCTCGAGGCTCAGGGCCAGGGCCTAGGCCCCCGTGGAGCAATGCTGTGCGTTAATATGGGCTGTGCGTCTCGTATACTGATGCATGGGTGGAAGATGGAGACTGTGTTATTTGGAGACCTCTTCCAACAGCTGGCAGAGTGAACCACTGGTGAGCTCTGGCCTGCTGAGCCATGCACTTCCGGTTCCCCATCGGCCTTGGGCCTCCGGCCTCGGGACCACAGGCCCCGTGCACTCTAACCTCAGACTTACAGGAATGTTGCACAAAGCACAGGAAGAATTCCTGGAACTCCTGCCCTCCCCCCTCCGCCTCTCCTCTCCCCGCCCTTCTCAGATCCTGTCTTGTCAGCGCAATACTCATCCGCTTTCACCACCAACCTTCTCCAATGAAGACTTCTGACCACTGAACACATGCCAAGTACTGCTCTGAGGGCTTCTGCACATTTGCCCTCTCATATTCCCATTTCACAGGCAAGGGGACTGAGGTACAGAGAGGGTGGTCTATGAAGCCAAAGTCACACAGCCCAGCAGGAGCAAGCGTGGTCAGGCAGATGAGTGTTGGTGGCAAGTGAGCAAGCAAGAGATGCTTTTAAAAACAGCAGATAACAGAGTGGGGCCAGTTAGGGGGCCTGGGGGGGGGGTTCTGATGGAGTTTTCTTTTCCCAAGGAATGCACAGGAGAGACTGGCTGGTCTCTTCAGATGACATTGGACAGAAACTGGCACAGATCAGGGCAAAGAATGTCTTCATCTTTGTTTTTTTGTTTGTTTATTTTGCCAGTCCTGGGCTTGAACTCAGGAAATGGGCACTGTCCCTGAGCTTCTTTTTGCTCAAGCTAGCACTCTACCACTTAAGCCAGTGTGCCACTTCTGGCTTTTTCTGTGTATGTGGTGCTGAGGAATGGAACCCCGGGGCCTCATGCATACTAGGCAAGCACTCTACCACTGAGCCACATGCCCAGCCCTGTCTTCATCTTTATACACGGAAATTTCAGGGTTGAATTGTTCAAATCTCCATCATGTCAGTGTGTGTGTGTGTGTGTGTGTGTGTGTGTGTGATAGGTTTGGAGAGTTCTCATAGGGTGCAAGCTTCTTGATCTCCACATAGGCCAGGCCCTGGCCCCCCTGGGCATCGGCTAGCACACAGGGGCCCTGGTGAATCAGTGGTGAATGAACCACGTTTTCCACACTCACACGGCCTTTCCCCATCCTGTGTCAGCTTCTGCCTCCTCCCCAGGGCCTTTGCACTTGCTAGTCTTTTTCCCCAAGGTTCTCTCTTGCTTTCTCATTCTCTCGCTCACATTCTCTCTCTCTCCCCCTCTCTTTCTCTCTCTCTGTGTCTCTGTCTCTCTCTCTCTGTGTGTGCCTCTGTCTCTTTCCCTCTCCCTCTTTCTCTCCGCCCCCTCCAAATCCTTTCCAGGTTTCTCCTGGGCCCATCTCTTCAGGGCGGCCTCTCCTGTCCTTCTGTCCCATTGGCCTCAACGATCTCTCTGTTGTGCTTTCTGCTTAGGGGCTCTTGTTCTGAGCACCTGCCTCAGTTTCCCCATGTGTAAAGTGGGTGACGGTGGAGTCACTTTCCCCCAGGCCTGGCCTAGGACGAGGGGCGCCCTGGAGCCTGATGGCTGCAGAGGAGGGAGGAAGGGCGGGCGGGCCGGCCACAGTCCACACTTGTGGACAAGGACACCCAAGGGGCGCGGCCCTCCCAGGCGGGCTGGCAAGGACCCCTGTGCAGGAAGTGGGGTGACTTGGAGGAGTCACCCTGGAAGACGACAGAACTCCATTACTCAGGTAGCCGGGAGGGCGTATGCAAATGAGGGGGCGTGGCCGCGCGCTCGCGGTGGGGTGAGGGCGGCGCATGCAAATCAAAGCCACCAGGGCGGGTCCTGTCGGAAGAGGGAAAGAGATAACGCATGCAAAACTACTGGCGCTGGGACGGCGCATGCAAATGAACGGCGGGAGGGCGGGGCCGGCGGGCGGAGGGCGGGGCCGGCGGGCGGAGGGCGGGGCCGGCGGGCGGAGGGCGGGGCCGGCGGAGGGCGGGGCCGGCGGAGGGCGGGGCCGGCGGGCGGAGGGCGGGGCCGCGGCAGGAAAGCCCCGGGGCCGTCGGCAGCCGGGTCCCCTTCGGGTCGGGCCCGTGGCGGGCGGATGGGGCCGGATCCCGCAGGTAGGGTCCGCGGGGGCGGGAGGTCGTGGGCTCGTCGCCCCGGGCTCGTGGCGGGAGGCCGCGGAGGTCTCGGGGTCGTCCGGGGTGAGCCGGGGACCGCCGGGGCCGGGGATCCGCGCACCTCGCCGGGGCTCCCGCGGGCCGGGCCGGGCCGGGGCGGGGGGTTGGGGGGGGCCGCGGGGACGGCGGCGAGGCCGGGGGCGCGGGGCGCGCCGTGCGGAGCCGCCCGGGCGCCCGGGCTCGCCCCGGGGATTTCCGAAAGCGCAGCGCCCGGGCTCGGGGCCCGGGAAGCCCAGGTCCTGGCCGGGGACCCGGACACGCCCGGTGCGGCCCCCCCCCCCGGCCTTGAGGACCCCAGTATCCCGGGGACGCCGCTCCCCTCCTGGCGTCTCCTGGGGACACTGAGGCAGGGGCGCCGGGCTGGGCGGGGGGAGCAAAGCCGGGGCCCGAGGGCCGGACGCGGGGAGCGGGGCAGGGGAAAGCCCCACCGAGCGCTCCGCTTCCCGGAGGGCCCTGACCGCAGCCTCTGCCGCGGCCGGCCGGGACCCACCGACTCACTGCAGGGCCGATCGCGGGGCCCCTTCCAGGCCTGGCGCCCTGTTCCTAGAAGACAGAGCAGAGAGAGGCCTCCAGGGCCCCGGGGGTGTGCTGGGCTGGGGGGTGCTGGGGTGGGGGGTGCTGGGGTGGGGGTGTGCTGGGCTGGGGGGTGCTGGGGTGGGGGGTGCTGGGGTGGGGGTGTGCTGGGGTGGGGTGTGCTGGGGTGGGGGGTGCTGGGGTGGGGGGTGCTGGGCTGGGGGGTGCTGGGGTGGGGGGTGCTGGGGTGGGGGTGTGCTGGGGTGGGGGGTGCTGGGCTGGGGGGTGCTGGGGTGGGGGTGTGCTGGGGTGGGGTGGGGTGTGCTGGGGTGGGGGGTGCTGGGCTGGGGGGTGCTGGGGTGGGGTGGGGTGTGCTGGGGTGGGGGTGTGCTGGGGTGGGGGGTGTGCTGGGGTGGGGGTGTGCTGGGGTGGGGGGTGCTGGGGTGGGGGGTGCTGGGGTGGGGGGTGCTGGGCTGGGGGGGGTGCTGGGCTGGGGGGTGCTGGGGTGGGGGTGTGCTGGGGTGGGGGGGTGCTGGGGTGGGGGTGTGCTGGGCTGGGGGGTGCTGGGGTGGGGGTGTGCTGGGGTGGGGGGTGCTGGGGTGGGGGGTGCTGGGGTGGGGGGTGCTGGGCTGGGGGGTGCTGGGGTGGGGGTGTGCTGGGGTGGGGGGTGCTGGGGTGGGGGGTGCTGGGCTGGGGGGGTGCTGGGCTGGGGGTGTGCTGGGGTGGGGGGTGCTGGGCTGGGGGGTGCTGGGCTGGGGGGGTGCTGGGGTGGGGGGGTGCTGGGGTGGGGGTGTGCTGGGGTGGGGGGTGCTGGGGTGGGGGGTGCTGGGGTGGGGGTGTGCTGGGGTGGGGGTGTGCTGGGGGTGGGGGGTGTGCTGGGGTGGGGTGTGCTAGGGTGGGTGTGCTGGGGTGGGTGTGTGCTGGGGTGGGGGTGTGCTGGGGTGGGGGGTGCTGGGGTGGGGGTGTGCTGGGGTGGGGTGGGGGTGTGCTGGGATGGGGGTGGGGGTGATGGGGTGGGGTGGGGGTGTGCTGGGGTGGGGTGGGGTGTGCTGGGGTGGGGGTGTGCTGGGGTGGGGGTGCTGGGGTGGGGGTGTGCTGGGGTGGGGGGTGTGCTGGGGTGGGGTGTGCTGGGGTGGGGTGTGCTGGGGTGGGGGTGTGCTGGGGTGGGGGTGTGCTGGGGTGGGGGTGTGCTGGGGTGGGGGGTGTGCTGGGGTGGGGTGCTGGGGTGGGGTGGGGGTGTGCTGGGGTGGGGTGTGCTGGGGTGGGGTGTGCTGGGGTGGGGTGGGGGTGTGCTGGGGTGGGGGGTGTGCTTGGGGGGGGACCCACTGCTTGCATTTCCCAAATGGAATGCGGGATGTATCTGTAGAGAGAGAGGTAAGATATAGATATAGATATATAAATGATTGAATGCCAGTGTGTCGTGACACTACGAAGTTTTGAACTCAGAACCTTACACTTTGCCGGGCAGGTGCTCTGCCCCTGGGGACACACACACACCCTGTAGCCCTTCCATGGCTTTCGGTGGTTTTTTTTTTCCCATTAGTGGCCTCCTGATTGCTGCCCCCAGCTAGCCTCGGATTGGAATCCTCCTATCTCTGCCTCCCTCACCGCTGGGATGACAGGCTCACCGCACCCAGCTCAGCTGGCTGGTTGAGAGGGAGTCTCACCAGCCTTTTTGTGAATAGAGGTGCATTCCCTGTCATCTCCGCGTGTCCCGTGGAGGAGACTCAGTTTGCCTGTCCTTCGCCTGAGCGGTGACGCGGGCTGTTTGCCCAAGGGTTCTTTCGGCCATCTTCACTGTGGCTGTTCCCCCTCTCCCACCAAACAGGTTCGGGGGTGGCCCAAGGGGAAACTGAGGCTGTGAATGGAGGATTGGAGATACTCTGCTCCCTCTCCAGGGCTGTGAATCTTGTGTCTTGAACCCCAGTTCTGAGCTCTTGGCTTGCCGAAGAGTGCTTGTAGGGAATGTTACTCTTGATTAGAAATGAGAGGGGTCCCGTTTGTCCCTAGGAATCATTTTGGAGAACTAGGAGGTGGCCTGAGGTTTTCCTGGAGTCACCGTGTGTGTGTGTGTGTGTGTGTGTGTGTGTGTGTGTGTGTGTGTGTGTGCGCGCACACACATATGTGCTCTGCCTCTTTCAAAAGAGGAAATGAAACTTCTCCGGGGAGAGGAGTCACTGGGGTGCTGGGCTGGGCGTCTTTCCAGCGATCGTTGCTTCGGCCTCCAACCTCCTACCATCTGGCTTCCTGGGGCAGGTCCAGAAGCGTCCACAAGCTGCTCTCGCTGCAGGACGAACTTCCCTGAGCTTTAGCCAAAGTAGCATTCCTGAACTTCCATTTTCTGTCTCTTGGAAGGGGCAGCTATCTCTCTCCACTTCTGCTGGGCGTTTCACAGACTTACACCACCGTGGTGTGTTCAGATACTGTCTCTGACTGAGGTCATCTGGGGAGTTTGGTCTGTCTCCGGCCTTCAGTCCGCAGGTCAGAGTTCCCATGAATCCTGCAACTTCTCTTGAAGCCTTCCCATCAGATGGAAGGCCAGGGTCGCCGCCTTGGGTGTGAGGTTCACACCTCTGTTCATACAGTCATACTGGGGGTAGGGGTTCCTATTGCTGTTCACACAGAGCGCATGAGCCAGAACCATGGAACAGAAGCAAACTGTGGCTTCCATGCTGAGACTTCTCTGTTTTCCAATAAACAGACTTCGACGAACTGGCTATGATTTTTCCTTTTGGATACTGCTTTGGCACCTTTGGTTCTTGTGGCAGTCATTTGCTACCAAATGGATCGTTGATAATTTTCCCTTGGTTTCTCAAGAGTTGTTGCAAGAGTATTGGAGTGCTTTAAAAATATTTCACAGTAGGTGTAACTTTTTTAAATTAAGAGGTTTTTTGCCTTTGTGTGGTGTGTGTGTGTGGGGGGGGCTTGAAATCAAGAGGCTGAGCACTATTCCTTAGCTGGCTCTCTGCATTTTTATTTATTTATTTATTTATTTATTTTTGGTCGGTCGTGAGGCTTGAACTCTGGGCTTGGGCGCTGTCTCTGTTCTTCAGCTCAAGAGGAGCGCTCTACCATTTCAGCCACAGCACCACTTCTGAGTCTCACAGACTTTCCTGCCTGGGCTGGCTTTGAACCGTGATCCTCAGATCTCAGCCTCCTGAGTAGCTAGGATGACAGGCGTGAGCTTATTTTTGTCAGTCATGGATTGAACTCAGGGCCTGGGCACTGTCCCTGGGTTCACTTCTGCTCACTTTGCTACCACTTGGAGCCACAGCACCGCTTTCAATTTTCTGGTGGTCAATTGGAGATAAGGATCCCACAGACTTTGCTGCCCCCACTAGCTTTGAACCATGATCCTCAGATCTCAGCCTCCTGAGTAGCTAAAATGACAGGCGCGAGCCACCAGCGCCTAGCTTCTATCACTTTTAATATAGATGTCTTCACTTCTGCCTTATGTTATAAACTATGGTCTTCATTTGCGTTTTTCTTGATTAATCTCACAGTTATTGCATTCCTTTGTTTGTCCCTAAAGTTGTAAAACTTTGCTTTGACCCTAGTCCACTCAGACTATGTTGCTCTGTAAGGTCACTGAGCAAGACAGGGTCCCTGTGTAGGCCCCAACTTCATCCATGAGGTTAGCAGATGACCGTCTGGGTTTTGTGACCATCAGTGTGTGCGTTGGGGCTGGGGGTGTGGCCGAGTCATGTAAATAAATCCAGCCAGCCTGAGGTGGGACAGCACCTCAGGGAAGGTGTGCACATCCCCGAGGCCAGAATAACGAGCGCCCCTTCGGCTCTTCGGGTCTGGGGAGGGAGGAGGCCATGTATGAGTTGGGAGCCGGGCTGAGGAAGCAGCGGGTTGGACAGGAAGGCTGTACGAAGGCAGGCTGAGGATGGTAAAAGAGCGAGCTCCGGGAGTGAGCCGGGCGGTGTGTGACATGTCTGGGCACTGTGGGGCAGGGCGGGAGGGGGCAGCAGGGCTGGCGGGACGTCTGGAATCTTCTCTGCTCAGCATCGTGGGGGGAGGTGATGAGGGCTCGTCGCCATGAGCACCAGGGGGTGGGGGGTAGGTCGGCTGGCAGGGGGTGAGCCTGAGGTTCTGCAAGGCCTCCAGCTTGCAGGTCTCCCAGCTGGCCAGGGCGGGGAAAGGGGGGGTGCGGCTGGCCGGGAGCCAAGTGAGGTGACAGCCCTGTCCCACAGACGGGGCGGGGCCTGGTGCCTTATCTGTGCCCACATGCTGGTGGCGCTGGTGCCAGGGACCAAAGTCCGAGGCTGGCAGCCCCAGAGCCGGCTTCCTGCTTCTACTGTGCCAGCCTCTGGACCAACAGCCCCAGTCAGAGGCCTGGATTTGAATTCCAGCCATATGGGTGTGCATCCCTAGACAGCTTTCTGAACCTCTCTGTTCCGCTGTTTCTCTGTTCCCAGAACTAGGGTGATGCTGGCTGCACACCTATAAGAGTCTCCTTCCCCCCCCCCCACACACACCCTATGGGTGTCAGGGTACAGAAAGCTCCACGCACCCCTGGGTAAACTGAGGTAGGGATGGAAGCTGCCCTCAGCTGAGGAAGGGTGGGACCGGGGGGGGGGGGGCACGTGGGGGCCCAGGACTGCAGCCACGGGGAGACGAAATCCACTCGGTGACCCAGTGCCAGCTGCGGGCCCCGGCCTGGTCCCAGCCCAGATCTGGACTCTGGCCAGTGTTTACCCAGTAGCAAGCGGTGGAACATTCCAGACTGGTGTGTTCCCCCCCTTCCTCCAGTATCCGTAGGCAATTGGGGCCAGCCGTAACTCCCTGGGGCCTGGCTACGCGCTGGCGTCTGAGGCTGGCTGGGGTGTTGGACAATAAACAGATGCCACCTGGACGCACAGCCTGCAGGACAGGCGCTGGGGACAGGAAGCCCCGATCCTGCCAGGGCAGACAGGCGGACCGGGATCCTCAGGCTCCATCCCCCTGCCCTCAGGCATCTGGAATCTTCTGAGGATGGGTGAAGCATCTGGGGGCCCGGAGGAGTCGGCTGAATGACTGAAGACCTTGGTGCTCACCACCCCACACCCACTCCTTGGCTGGCCCCTCTGAGCACCCCGGCCCTGCACTGAGTGCCAGGGTCGCCTGGGGCTCCTGCAGCAGCTTTTGTCGTGTCGGGTGCTGTTGGAGTTCCTCGGGGCCTTGCATTTTTCTGGGTGGGTGCCCTGTTTGTTTTCATTCTTCAGAGAGGCTCAGCCTTGGACTGAGATCCTCCTGTCTCTGCCTCCTGAGCAGCTGGGGGTCCGGGCTGGGCCGGGTAGGGGTGAGCAGGCAGGACTGGTACATTTTGGGGGCCCCAGCCTGGCCGGCTTCAGCAGGCGGGGTGAGGCCGCTCCTGTGTCTGTCCATTTCTGGGAAATGCAGCTGGGAGCATTGTTTTTCTGGCCGCTCGCCAGTCCCGCCTGCACGGCCGTCCTGCAGGCGTGCAAGAGGAAGGGCAGAGCGCTAGGAGGACCGGACAGCTGCTGTGCAGGCCTCCAATGGCTCTGCTCCAAGACCCCCCCCCCCACCTTCACACTGCCACCACTCGCCGCCCCCCCACCCCCAAGGCAAAACCACAGGAAGGCAGTGGGAATATCAGTGCCGGGCAGAGGGCCTTCCTATGTAAAGACATCTTACAGATCAATGCGACGCTGCCCGCGCTCGCTTCCACGCTCAGGCCCTGGCAGGAGCTGAGATGGCTTGGGCACAGTCCTGGCCGTGTGATGGCCTGTGTTTCCTCAAGGTGTGTTATTTGTTTGTGAGAACTCTTTACTGACTCAGGCCACGCGCTCTGTGCGGCACGTGGTTCCCTTTCCCCCCACCTTTGGCTTCCTCCTCGTTGGCTGGCAGCGGGACCGGGTGCATGCTCAGCAGTAGCTGGGCCGTTGAGCCGGGCTGCTTACTCCCCCGGTTTTGTTTTTGTTTTGCTGGTCTTGGCGCTTGAACTTAGGGCCCCGGTGCTGTCCCTGAGCTTTTGTGCTCAAGGCTGGTGTTTTACCGATTGATCCACGGCTCCACTTCCAGCTTTTTGGTGGTTCATTGGAGATAAGAGTCTCCCAGACCTTCCTGCTCGGGCTGGCTTTGAATCCTCGGCCTCCTGAGCAGCTGGGATTACAGGCGGAGCCACCAGCCTCAGCTTCTCTGTCTTCTGGTGTAGAGAGGTTGGAAACCGGTGTACGATCAGGCCTTGCTACGTTTGCTATCTGCACCCCGAGATCGAATAGCCATTGGTGCTCTAGCCACACTGCTGTGTGGAGACCCGAGGAGCTCTGTGCAGAAGGATCCCCGAGACTAGAGCCCGGGGCGGCCTGGCCCCAGCAGGAGACAGGGCAGGCCCCAACCGACCCGCCGTCTCTCTGCAGGTGCCTCCGAGTCTCCCCATGGGGCGGCTGCGCCGGGCGCTGCTCCCGCTGAGCTGCCTGGTCCTGGTGTGGGCCGCAGGCTCCGGTGAGTCGCTGACCACGGGGGCCGTGCCGAGGTCCTGGGGTCGCTGCGCGGGGGCGGGCGAGGCGGGGACGCGCCCCGAGGGTGGCCATCTCCACGGAGGGGGGCTGAGATCCGCAGCCGCGGCCGGGGGGCAGCCCGCGGGGGGGGGGGGGTCTAGCCGGCCCGTGCGCGTGCGCACCAGCACCGGCCCCCCCGCCCCCCGGCCGAGGCTCAGCCCCCCCCCCCCCCGCAGGCGGCGTCCGCGTCCTGCACCCGCCCTCCTGCTCCTCCGACTACCTCAGCGCGTCCACCTGCGAGTGGAGGCTGGACCGCCCTCTCAACTGCACCGCCCGGCTCCGCCTGGCCTACTGGCTCAGCTTCCTGCATTTTGAGTAAGTGGGGAGGGTCCGGGCCCCGCCCCGCGCTCCCCGGCCCCGCCCCGCACGCACGCACGCGGCTCGCACGCGGCTCGCACGCGGCTCGCAGAGGCTGATGGGGGCTGCGTTCCAGCCCAGCCTCGGCCCCGCCCCGCGCTCCCCGGCCCCGCCCCGCACGCACCCACGCGGCTTGCACGCGGCTCGCACGCGGCTCGCAGAGGCTGATGGGGGCTGCGTTCCAGCCCAGCCTCGGCCCCGCCCCGCGGCGCAGGACACGTGGCTCGCACCTGGCTCACTGAGGCTGCCGCATTCCAGCCTCGGCCCCGCCCTGTGCCGGGCACGCGGCTCGCACGTGGCTCGCAGAGGCTGATGGGGGCTGCGGTCCAGCCCAGCCTCGGCCCCGCCCCGCGGCGCAGGGCACGCGGCTCGCACGTGGCTCGCAGAGGCTGATGGGGGCTGCTGCATTCCAGCCTCGGCCCCGCTCCGCGGCGCAGGGCACGTGGCTCGCACGCGGCTCGCACGCGGCTCGCAGAGGCTGACGGGGCCTCGCCGCTGCGCCCGCCGCTCCCCACTTTACGGTCTCTGTGCCCGTGGGGTTAAACCTCACGGTGAGGGCCGGGAAGCGTCCCGGGCTGGCTGCGGGACGCAGGTGAGGGCGGAGGCGGCCCGCGCGGAGCGTCCCGCGGCGCCCTCCGCAGCCCCTCCGCGTCCCGCGGCAGGAACCGCAGCTGTGTCCCCCACAACACGGCCGGCGCCGCGTGCGCGTGCCACCTGCTCACGGACAACGTGATCGTGGCGGACACCTACCGGCTGGACCTGTGGGCCGGGCGGCGGCTGCTGTGGGGGGGCTCCTTCACCCCCAGCAAGCACGGTGAGCGCCGGCCGGGCCGGGCCGGGGGGCAGCCCGGGGGGAGGGGGCGGGCGGCCCGGGGGGAGGGGGCGGGCGGCCCGGGGGGAGGGGGCGGGGAGGCCCGGGGGGAGGGGGCGGGGAGGCCCGGGGGGAGGGGGCGGGGAGGCCCGGGGGGAGGGGGCGGGGAGGCCCGGGGGGAGGGGGCGGGCGGCCCGGGGGGAGGGGGCGGGGAGGCCCGGGGGGAGGGGGCGGGGAGGCCCGGGGGGAGGGGGCGGGGAGGCCCGGGGGGAGGGGGCGGGGAGGCCCGGGGGGAGGGGGCGGGGAGGCCCGGGGGGAGGGGGCGGGGAGGCCCGGGGGGAGGGGGCGGGGAGGCCCGGGGGGAGGGGGCGGGCGGCCCGGGGGGAGGGGGCGGGCGGCCCGGGGGGAGGGGGCGGGGAGGCCCGGGGGGAGGGGGCGGGGAGGCCCGGGGGGAGGGGGCGGGGAGGCCCGGGGGGAGGGGGCGGGCGGCCCGGGGGGAGGGGGCGGGCGGCCGGGGGGAGGGGGCGGGGAGGCCCGGGGGGAGGGGGCGGGCGGTCCGGGGGGAGGGGGCGGGCGGCCCGGGGGGAGGGGGCGGGGAGGCCCGGGGGGAGGGGGCGGGGAGGCCTGGGGGGGAGGGGGCGAGTGGCCTGGGGGGGAGCTGGGAGGCCTGGGGGGGTGGGGCTGGGAGGCCGGGGGGGGGGGGGGGGGGCTGGGAGGCCTGGGGGGGAGGGGGCGAGTGGCCTGGGGGGGAGCTGGGAGGTCTGGGGGGAGCTGGGAGGCCTGGGGGGTCCCAGCCGGCCTGGGAGGTCCCAGCGGGCCAGGAGGGTCCCAGGCAGCTCCACAAGCTAGCTCCATGTTTGTTGATGGTTCTTGACAGTACTGGAGCTTGCTAGGACAGGTGCTGGCCCGCCTGAGCCCGACCCACAGCCCACCAGAGGTGGCTTGAGTGGGAATGTGAATGACGGATTCTCTCCATGTTGACATTAAACCAGCTAGCTCTGAAAAAGCAGGCAACCGGCCTTAAGTCATACAGCAGCAGAGTTCCGGAGACAGAGACGATCCATTTACATAGTGGTTTTTAACAGACTTGCTATACTTAGGATCTCAGGGGTATGAGTCTATGAGAAAAGACGATGTTTCCCAAAAAATAAGTCAAATCGGGCACCCACAGTTCACTTCTGTCATCCCAGCTACTCAGGAGGCTGAGATCTGAGGATTGCAGTTCAAAGCCAGCCCCGGCAGGAAAGTCCGTGAGACTCTGATCTCTAAGTAGCAAAAAGCCAGAAGCAGAGCTGTGGCTCAAGTGGCTGAGCAACAGCCTTAAGCACAAAAGCTCAGGGACAGAATCCAGGCCCCAAGTTCAAGCCTCAGGACTGGCAACAGGTGCACACGCACATACACATATACACACACGATGGATTTCATGAGATAATAGCCAGGGCCCAGCTGGGGCTTGGGGACCCACTGCACACCCCTCTCCTGGCACAGGGTAAAGCCCCAGGTGGGATTCGGTCATGGCTCTGTACCTGTGTGTTTTGTGGAGACCTGACTGAACATTCTGGAAGGCCTGGGAGCCTGTTGGCTGGATGGGGCATGGGTTCCCTCCACTAGAGTGATAGCTCCTCCCCACAGTGAAACCCAGGGCCCCAGAGAACGTCACCGTGTCCGCCAACATCTCCCACATGTGGGTCGTGGCGTGGAGCAATCCCTACCCTCCTGGAAACTTACTGCACGGTGAGCTCACCTACCAAGTCAACGTCTCCCAAGCGGATGACCCGGCGCAGGTGAGCGAGGCTGGGGCTCGGGCTGCCCGGGAGCAAGGGTGACCACCCAGGGAAGTCCTGCCTCTTGCACGGCCCCCTTTCCTGTGTTAGACAGAGTCGGTTAGCGCTCTGGCTGTGACAAAATGCCTGACACAAATAGCATGGCAAAAGAGGTTTGTGTTGGCTCCTGGGCCCCTGGCCAGCCACTTGGCCCCTTCGGCTCTGGGCATAAAACAGGGGCTGCGGTGGAGCTGTTCCTCTCATGGCAACCAGGAAGCAGGGAGAGGATTGGGCAGGAGGGCTGGGGGCCAGCGACCCCCTCTGAGGGCACAACCCCAGTGGTGGAAGACCCCACCCTGGACCACCACCTACAAGTCCCACCCTCTCCCCAAAGGACTAAGCCAACACCTGGGCCTCTGCGAAACATTGAAGATTCAAAAGATGTCGGGTGTGGTAGCATATGCTTGTAATCCCTGCACCTAGGAGGCTGACAGGAGAGTAGTGAGAGTTCAGGACTACCCTGGCTACAGAGAGAGACCTTGACTCAAAGAAAGTAAAGAAAAGTCGGGCACCAGTGGCTCACGCCTATAGTCTCAGCCATTGAGGAGGCTGAGGCTGAGATCTGAGGGTCATGGTTCAAAGCCAGCCCAGGCAGGAAAGTCTGTGAGATTCTTATCTCCAACTAACCACCAAAGAGCTGGAATTAGCACTGTGGCTCAAAGCAGCAGAGGCTAGCCTTGAGCAAAAAGAGCTCAGGGATAGCACCAGGCCCTGAGTTCAAGCCCCATGAACAACAACCACAAATAGACAAGACTGGGAATGTGGCTCAAATGGTAGAGTACTAGCCTTGAGCAAAAGAAGGTCAGGGACAGTTCCCAGGCCCTGAGTTCAGGCCCCAGGACTGGCAAAAACAAAGCCTCAGTGTTGGGAACGGTTAGGGGATGGGCGGCGCCGGTGTTGCTCCTTGTGCCTCATGTGACGGCAGATGTGATGTAGAGACCACAGCTCAGTCCGCGAGCCAGACACGTGCCTGAAATCCCAGTTAGGCGGGGGCCTAAAAACATCACAAAAAGGAAAAAATAAAAATTCAAAGGGCTGGGCCAGGGGTGGAGCAGCTTCTAGGCAAGTGTGAGGCCCTGAGTTCAACAAGGCGTGAGAGTGAGCACAGAAGCAGGCCTGCGCCTCAGCCCCCTCCCCCCCCTTCCCCGTGAGGGCCCCCTCCAGCATCCTGGGGCAGCAGCTAGGCAGGGCGTGGTGCCCAGACCCCGCAGCTGGTACACAGATGCCCCCCTCTCCTCCACCAGTGTCAAGTCTATAATGTGACCTACACGGAGCCTGTCCTCCACCTGGCAGCCAGCACCCTGCAACCCGGACTCTCCTACAGGGCACGGGTGAGGGCCCTGGCCCAGAACCTGCACAGCAGCTGGAGCGAGTGGAGCCCCAGCGTCACGTGGCACAACCGTGAGTACCAGGGGCCCCTGGGCCACGCGACCTCTGCACCCACGCCTACTGTGCAGCCACACGCCGCTGCGGGCAGCACCTCCGAGTTCTTAGAATTCCCCACGAACATGGTATAGTAGCACACGCCTGTAATCCCAGCAACCATGGGAGGCATAAGGAAGAGGATTACAGTCCAGGCTGGCACTGGGGGAAAAACCCAGACCCCTACCCAAAAAATAAAAAGGCTGGGGGGCTGGGAAGGTGGCTCAGTGGTAGAGCGCTTGCCTTGCAGGCATGAGGCCCTGGGTTTGATTCCTCAGCACCACATAAGCAGAAAAAGCTGGAAGTGGCGCCGTGGCTCAAGTGGTAGAGCGCTAGCCTTGAGCTGAAGAGCTGAGGGACAGCGCCCAGGCCCAGAGCTCAGGCCCCACGACCGGTCCCCCCCCCCCCAAAAAAAAGGCTGGGGACTTGGTTCAAGTAGTAGAGTCTGCCAGGCAAGTGGGAGGTCCTGAGTTCAAACCCCTATACTGTAAAGAGTAAACATGAAAAAGATAGCCGGGCATGGGGCCTCATGCCGGTCACCCTAGCTACTCAGGAGGTTGAGATCTGAGGATCACAGTTCAAAGCCAGCCCTGGCAGGAAAGTGTGAGACTGGTATCTTCTAATTAACCACCAAAGAGCTGAAGTGGAGCTGTAGCTCAAATAGTAGAGCACTAATCTTGAGCAAAAAAACAGGGACAGCACCCAGGCCCTCAGTTTTTAAGCCCCATGACACACTCACACACTCTGTCTCTCACATACACACACACACATGCGCGCGCGTGTGAACGCGCACATGCCAGTACTGGAGCTGTGGCCCAAATGGTAGAGTACCAGCCTTGTGTGAAAAAATCTTAAGAGCATTGCCCAGGTCCTGAGTTCAAGTCCCAGGCCTGGCTCAGGAAGGGGGGGGGGCGCGCATGGTGGCAGATGACGCCCTGTGTGCACAGTTCCATCAGTAATGCCCTGTGGCCAGGCCAGCCTGGGAGGTGCAGTGTTCCTAACTCCATAATAAAGCTGAGGTTTCCGGGGCACAGAGAGGGTCATCAACTGATCTAGGGTCTCAGCTGGCCTTGAACTCGAGCTCCCGGAATGCACTGCGTTCCAGCTGTGCCCTGAGGAGGGCTCGGTGGGAGAGGGGAAGGTGAGGCCAGAGGGCAGTGGGTGCCCGGCCCGGATGCCCAGCCTAGCCCCGCCCCAGGGCAGCTGAGGCCTCTCCTTCCCCTGGCAGACTCGCAGCTGGCCCTGGAGCAGCAGCTGGCCCTGGGCGTGGGCATCGCCTGCACCATCATCCTGCTCGTGTGCCTGGTCTGCTACTTCAGTGTCATCAAGTGAGTCCTGGCCCCTGGCTCTCAGTGTGCGCTAGCTCAGCAGCTGCTACCCACCTGGCATGGGTTAGAGGGGGGAACAAGGCCAACAGGACCCCGCGTGGGGTCCCCAGTCACTGGAATGCTTTGTGGAAGGGATTTGGGCTCAGTACCCTGGGTACAGGGAAGTGACTGGTGTGGCAGGGTGTTGTGCTAAGTACCCCGGTGCAGGGGGCCAATGTTTCCGGGCACTGTGGCTGCTCCTTGTTGTGCGTAGACCAGGATTGGCTGTGGCATCCACAGATGTGTGTTGCCAGCCATGCTGACTGATGGGGTAGCGAGCGGGCGCCAGCCTACGGCTAACGCAGCCCCTCTCCTGGCTGGGCAGGATTAAGCAGCTGTGGTGGGACCAGATCCCCAACCCCGGGCGCAGTACCCTGCTGGCCGTCGTCATCCAGGATTCCCAGGTAGGCCGGCACAGCGCATCCATGGCTGCGGTCCCGAGCACACTCCAGCCGTCCGAGCTGGGAGGAGCCCCCTGGCTCGTGCTGAGTTTCCCCCGGGACTGCACCCTGGCTCTTGGCTCTGCCATGTCCAAGAATCAACTAGGGGACCCCTCTGGGGGGTGGCTGGTGCCTTGTGCTAGTGTCTCCCCATTGTGTGGAAGCCGATAGAGACGATCCCCAAAAAGTCCCGGTGCACTTAGGTAACATACAGCCCCTGGGCTCCAATGCCCATCATCCATTCACAGCTCCTGCCCCTGCAGGCTGGCCCTGTGAGTGGGGCTCTGCGGGAGGGGTGTGCGGGAAGGGGCCTCATTCATCCGTGGCTCCAGCCCTGGGCCAGCTCACTGGGACCAGGGAGGTGACAGGGCCTGGCCTGGCACAGCCATGGTTCCTGGGCTGGGTTAAGATTGGGAGGAAAGCCTGGCGCTGGTGGTGCAGGCCTGTCATCTGAGATACTCAGGAGGCTGGGATCTGAGGATGGTGGTTCAAAGCCAGCCTGGGCAGGAAAGTCCATGAGACTAACCACCAGAAAACCCAAAGTGGTGCTGTGCTCAAAGTGGTAGAGCGCTTGCCTTGAGCAAAAAGCGCTCGGGGACAGCGCCTGGGCCTGGAGTTCAAGCCCCACGACAGACAACAAAGTGTGGGAGGAGTTCAGAGTCCTTGGACCACTGCTGCCGTGGACCATCGCTGCTGCCGGGGACCATCGCCGCCGGTTTGGTCCTCAGCCGCTGTGGGTCTCACAGCTGTCTCTGTTCAGGTGTCGCCGTGGGAGAAGCCGATGCCAGGGCAGGAAGCACCTGAGCGCCCGTAGGTACCGGGCCCTGAGGGCGCCCGTGCACCCTGGGGGTGGGCCGCCCCATCACTGACGCCACTGACCTCTCTCTGGGCTTGGGGGGAGGGCGGGGAAGGGGTGCGGGAGGGGCGCGCCGGGCAGAGGCTGGGCGCAGGCGAGGGACAGTGCCCAGGCCCAAGACCAATAAAAACAACAGCCCCACTCTACCCTGAGGAAGGATGTGTGCGGTGGGGGAGGCTCGGATCATTGTGCGGGGCTGGCTCTAGTCCCCGCCCTCGCGGAGTTCCACCTCTGAGAAAAATCCAGAGAGCAGTGAGGGCGCTCCCCAGCCGGGTTCTGAAGGGCGGACAGGAGTCTGGGCGCCGTAGTGATTCCGGGCCCTGCGTTGGCAGCCGCTGGAGGAGCTGCCTGGCCAAGCTCCTGCCGTGCCTGCTGGAGCACGGCGGGAAGACGCGGAGTTTCCCCAAGGCGTCCCGAAGCGAGGCGCGGCTGGCGTGGCCCCCCGTGGAGCTGCACAAGATGATCCTGTGGCCGGAGCGCATCAGCGTGGTGCGGTGCGTGGAGCTGTGCGAGGCCCCGGCGGCGCGGGCGGCGGTGGAGCAGGAGCCGGAGGAGGAGGAGGCGGCCGGGCCCGCGGGCGCGCCGGCCGAGGGCAGCGCGGGCGCCTTCCCGGGCGGCGTGGTGGCCCGGCTGGCCGAGAGCCTGTTCCTGGACCTGCTGGGGGCGGAGGCGGGGCCCGCGGGGTCCCCCGGGCCTCCGGCCGGCTGGGCCCGCGCCCCGGAGCCCGCGGCGGCCGTGGCGGACAATCCGGCCTACCGCCGCTTCAGCGAGGGCTGCGCGCCGGCCGAGCCGGGGGGCTGGGAGCACGTCCTGCGCCAGCGCCTCCTGCAGACGGCGGCCGCCCCGGCCGGCGCCTACCGGGACTTGAAGCCGGCGCTCGAGCCGGGCGCGGGGTACAAGGCCCTTCCGGGGGCCCCCGCGGACCCGGGCTACCGGCCGTGCCGCGCCCCGGGCCGCCCCGAGCCCCCCGCCGGCGCCGGCGCGGACGAGCTGGGCGGCGGCCTGGCCTACGCGGCGCTCACCTGCCACCAGTGCGGCCGCCTGAAGCAGCGCCGCGGCCCCGCCGAGCGCGCCCCGGGCCCCGGCGCCGCCCGGCCCTGCTGCGCCTGCTGCTCCGGGGACCCCGGCCCCAAGGCCCCGCCGGCCTGCAGGCCCGCCCCCGCCCGCGCCCCGAGTCCCACTGGGCCTCCCCGGGGGCCGGGCCTGGCCTGCGGGGCCGCCCCGTGCGTGGCCGTGGCCTAGCCCCGGCCCGCGGGGCAGGACGGACCCCTTCCCCAGCCTCGGCCCCGGCCCCCACGGCCGGAGCTGCCGCGGAGCCACAGCTCAGGTGGCTGACACGGCCTGGACACGCTGGAAGCGGCGAGCCCGCCTCCACCGCCTGATCCCGCGTCGGCCTCGGGGCAGGCCCGCAGGACCCAGGAAGTTTGTACCAATAAAGGCTCTCTATCTCTTTCCCCTGCCCGATTAAACAAGCACGCTCCTCGTGGGAGGCCTCGGGGCTCACGCCTGTCATCCTGGCTACTCAGGAGGTTGAGATCTAAGGATCACGGTTCGAAACCAGAGTGGGGCAGGAACATCCATGGGACTCCTGGCTCCCATGAATCAGAGAAAATCCAGAAGTGGCGCTGTGGCTAAAGGGGTAGAGCGCTAGCCTTGAGCAAATGGAGCTCAGGGACAGAGCTCAGGTCCTGAGTTCAAGCCTCAGGACCTGCAAAGAGGGAGGGAGGGAAAAGAAAGTGAGCCAGGGAGATTATTCCACGCTTGATGGGGACCAGAGACTTGAACCATCTTAGTCCCACCGGCCAGGAAGCCTTGTCCAATAGGAATCAGCCTCTTTCCTGATCTCCCCAATCACAGACGCCAATGAAAGGAACTGGAACCACTGGAAGTGCTCCTCTGATAGGGAGTCCTCACACCTTGCAGTATGAGGCCTAAAGTTCCACATGACAGCTGCTAAAATCCTTGCTGCTCTGATGTCCATCCTGAATCAGTGACTCACTGGGAATGAGTTGATTCACAGCGGGAAATGGTTGGCTGCCAGAAACTTCCTTGGCATTTCCTTAAAGGATGTTTTCAAAATCTTAAACTGCACAGCAGCCCTTGCATATATAATCCCAGCTAGGAAAGCTGAGTCAGGAAGATCATTTGTTCAAGACCAGCCTGGGGGCTTAGAAGAAAAAAATCCCCTTAAAAATCTAGTCTTGGGACTGGGAATGTGGCTTAGTGGTAGAGTGCCTTCCTAGCATGCATGAAGCCCTGGGTTCGATTCCACATAAACAGAAAAAGCCAGAAATGGTGCGGTGGTTCAAGTGGTACAGTACTAGCCTTGAGCAAAAAAAAGCTCAAGGACAGCGCCCAGGCCCTGAGTCCAAGCCCCAGGACTGACTATATATAGTCATATATATGTGTATATTATATATATATTTGTATATATTATATGTATAATATGTATATATATAATAAATCTGTTGACCTCCATGGTCACTGAATTCGCCCAGACCTTTAGGACTGAATCCAGGCCACTTCTGTGGTTGCCTGCCCATCACCCTGTCTGAGCCTTATTTCCTCACTTATAACAGAGACAGTGAGGCATGCTGGGAGGATTCTCTCGGTTGGCATCGTCCTGGGGTTTCTGCAGCCTGACCAGGACTCCTCAGCCTTGCGGCAGGGACCGCCCCTGCTCCCACTGCCCGGGGTTCACCTTGCAGGATGTGGGTAGAGCCGGTCAGAGCTGGTTGAGTCAGCTAGAGCAGCAGTGGAAGCACACTTCCTGCTCATGGAGACGTGACCCACAGGCACGGCTGCCCGGCCTGCCAGCCATGAGCCAGCCACGCTCCCCACCTGCCCCCGAGGGACCAATCAGCGCCCGTCGCAAGTGCCTTGGGTCAACTCCCCGCTGAGCGATTGGCCGGGAAGGACTCAGGAGGTTGGGAAAGCTGGGGCTATAAATCCCCCCTTGCGCTCCGGGTGCGTGTTCCTAGTGCGCGCGTCGCACAAGTGGCGCCCAGCCTGGGGCTCGCGCGCTCTCCGCAGACGGACGGCCTGGCGCCAGGGAAGCGCCTCCGTGGGCGACCTTCCCCCGCCAGGGAAGCGCCTCCGTGGGCGACCTTCCCCCGCCAGGGAAGCGCCTCCGTGGGCGACCTTCCCCCGCCAGGGAAGCGCCTCCGTGGGCGACCTTCCCCCGCGAGGGGAGCGCCTCCGTGGGCGACCTTCCCCCGCAGCCCCAGAGCCTCAGGCGCGAGGCCTGCTGCCCTGCTCCACAGTCGCGGATACAAGTGTCAGAAAAGGAAGCTGGTGTCATATGGGGAACAGGGAGTGGACTGCGCCCCCGGATCGACTCCGGGGCCATGTGGGATCCAGACAGCGGGGCCGCGTCCAAACACGAAGTCCGCGAGGCCCACCCCACCGCCGTGGCCATTCGCGCCTGTCCATCGGGAGACAAGAAGGGGAAACTGCAGGCGACCACGCCTCGCTGCGATGGCGGAGCTCAGCCAACAATCCCAGCGAGGACGCGGACGACCAACCACGTCCGCCATCGTGGGACCCCGGGGGCCGGCCGCTTCCCCATCGTGGGACCCCGGGGGCCGGCCTCCCCGCGCCATCCGTCCCGGGACATCTGCCCCACCGCTTCCTTTGGCCGTGCAGGCCAGCCTGGGAACTCCCCTCGGGGGACTTTGTATCCTTGGGTAGACATATCCCACTTTGCCCAAGAAGGAGAACCCGTTGTTCCCCCCTGTAATTCAACAGTTGTTTGCGGCCCCCCAACCACCGTGGCAATGGCGGCCAAGCCTATGGACGAACCCCAGTTCGTGTTCCCGGTAAACGTCCACGGAACCGCCGCACGGCCCCACCGGGGGTGCCCCCATGACCCAAAAGTGCTTGAGCGGTGCCGACCGCTGTCAGGGAAGACGGGCTGCAGCCCGCATGCTCAGCAGGTGCTCCACACCCCCAGCATCGCCCTTAACTGCCCCCGTGACTGGAAGAGCTTCAAGCGCGCGGCAGTACCATCGGGGACTTCCTTTTACGGAAGGCTGCTTTTTATGATGAATGTGAACGGCACAGCGCACGAAATGTCGCTGCTGGGGGGCACCATGCCAACATGGGGGACCCTGATTGCTTAAAGGGGGAGGGAGCTTATGCGTCTCCCACCGCACAAGCAGCTGCGCCCCTGCAGTACTTTGACCAAGTACAGCCTCTGTGCCTTGCGGGCTGTCTCCTCAGTCCCTTCTAAACAACTAAAAACCCTCATACAACATCCCAATGAAGCTTTCACTGACTTGGTTGCCCAGGCTCAAGAAGCAGTGGCCCAAAAGGCATCCCACGCTGGAGCCCAAGATGCGCAAACCAAGACCCTAATATGGAAAAGAGCCACACAGGAATGCAGGAAAGCCATTGCCCCTGAACAAAATGGAGAGATCACCGATTGGATCCACCAAAGATTTGGGACATCAACTCACGCTATGAGTACCCTTGCACAGGCTTTCCCTCTATGGCCGCCAGCGCTCGCGCGCCCCCTAATGGCACGACAGGAAACCGACCTTGTTGGGGATGTGGCGGGGCCGGTCATGTTAAAGATTGCCCATCACTCCCGAGCTCACCCAAAAGAAAGCAACCCCCTTCCGTATGTCCTAAATGCAAAAAGGGTTTTCATGGGGGCCTGCGAATGCCGTTCTAAGACTCAGCCTTTAGGGGCTGGGAAGGTGGCTCAGTGGTAGAGCGCTTGCCTTGCATGCCTGAGGTCCTGGGTTCGATTCCTTAGCACCACATATAAGCAAAAAGAAAAAAAGCCAGAAGTGGTGCTGTGGCTCAAGTGGTAGAGCGCTAGCCTTGAGCTGAAGGGCTGAGGGACAGCGCCCAGACCCAGAGTTCAGGCCCCACGACTGGACCCCCCCCTCAAAAAAAAGACTCAGCCTTTAAACTAAATAAGGGGCAGTCCTCAGCCCCGACCCCAAGAGGACAAAGGCACCAGCCACCAACCCAGGTATCATGGACTATTCCTATCCAAAGTGGAAAAGCTAGAATGGAACTTAAGGCTAATGGAACAATTTTTTTTTTTTATTTCCGGGTCTGACTGTACGACTTAGGAAGGAGGAAGTCGAAGGGTTGGGGTGGAACCGAATTCCTGGCCCCTGCCTGCAAGGTGTCGGTGGAAAAACAGCTTCCCTCCAGGTCCAATGGCCTGTAAGATGGGAAGACTGTGATGGGGCCACCAGGGCTTTTAAACCTCTTGCCGCCCCTGGCCTTCCACGCAGTCTTTGGGGAAGAGACGTCCTCACTAGTATGGGTACTGTGCTAACAATGGATGGCAGGGACTTTTATGAAGACATCATAACTGATCGAGCGGTTAATCACCCACAGTACCCTCAATTCTAATGGCCACTGTTGCTCGACCAGAGCCAGTTCCACTCCAATGGGACACCACCAAACCCATTTGGGTCCAACAGTGGCCTATTACCCTGAAAAGTTCCCTCATCTCCAGGCTCTAGTGGAGGAGCAACTAAAAAGGGACACATAGAACCTAGCACCAGCCCCCACAATTCTCCCATTTTTATTATCCAAGAAAGGGCTCGAGGGAAATGGAGACTTCTCCAGGACCTACATTCCATAAACAGTCATATGAAAAAGATGGGAACGCTTCAACCCGGACTTCCACACCCTTCTGCAATACCCAAAGATGGGCACATTACCATTATTGACATCAAGGACTGCTTTTCTTCCATCCCCCTACATCCCAAAGATAAGGAATATTTCGCCTTCTCAGTATGGGAACCTAACTGTCAACTACCTACTCATCCATATCAATGAAAAGTTCTCCCTCAAGAAATGAAAAATAGCCCTACACTATGTCAGATGTATGTTGCCCAGGCCATTAGGCCTTTGCTTTCAAAATGCTTTTGTGTCCATTACATGGATGACATTTTAATAAAGCTGCTACAACCATGCAAACCTGTTTAACACAACTCCAGGAAAACCTTACAATGCTAGGCCCCTGAAAAAATTCAACTCAAAGCCCCTTACGCCTATCTTGGATACCATCTAAATCAAACAATTACCCCAAATTGGCTTAGTATTGTCATTAAGTCCCAATATACTTCAACTGAATTACAACAATTATGTGGACATA